CAAACAGAAACAATGCCTTTGAGCCATACTTAAGAATACCAGAATGAACTACTTATTATTTTGCACAACTTTTAAGTGTACTTGCCTGTCATCATACCTGATAGATACAGTCATGGCCAAAAAATATTGGCACCCTTTCAATTCTGTCGGAAATTGTAACCCTTCTCTCAGAAAATTGTTGCAGTTGTAAATATTTTGGTACATGTTCATTTCTTTGGTTTACGTTGGAACAACACAAAAAACAAAGAAAAGTCAAATCTGATACAATCCCACACCGAAACCCAAAAATGCACTGGCCAAAATTATTGACACCCTTAACTTAATATTTGGTAGCACCCTCTTTGGAAAAAATAACTGAAACCAATCACTTCCTATAACCATGAATGAGTTTCTTACACCTCTGGAATTTTGGACCAGTCATTTTTTGCAAACTGCTCCAGGGCCTTCAAGGTTTGAAGGATGCCTTCTCTCAACTGCTGTTTTGAGATCTCTCTGCAGGTGTTCTATGGGATTCAGATCTGGACTCATTGCTGGCTATTTCAGAACTCTCCAGCGCTAACAATTTCTGAGTGCTTTTTTTCAGGTCATTGTCCTGCTGGAAGACCCATGACCTCTGGTGGAGACACAACTTTCTGACACTGGCCACGACAAAGCTCTACTTTTGTCTCATCTGTCCACAGCATGTTCTCCCAGAAGGATTGTGGGTTTGTCACACAAGTTTTGGCATACTCCAGTCTTGCTTTTTTATGCCTTTGTATCAGCAGTGGTGTCCTCCTGGGTCTCCTACTATAGTGTCCCTTTTCATTCAGATGGCGACTGATAGTGTGAGCTGACACTGTTGTACCCTGTGTCTGCAGATCAGCTTGAATTTGTTTGGAAGTTAATCTGGGTTCTGTATCCACCATTCAAACAACCCTTCGTTGTGATTTTTCAGTCATTTTGCTCATCCGTCCACATACAACACAAATGCTGAATCAACTTTTCTCCATCTTAACTGGTTGCAAGTGTGATTACTATATAGCCCACAACTCTTACTTGTGACAGGTGTATCTAAATACAAATTAAAGGAGCATCACATGCTTGAAAAGCAATTCTTACAATTTAGACAGGGTGCCAATAATTGTGGCCAGTGCATTTTTGGGTTTCTGTGTGGGATTGTATCAGATTTGACTTTTCTTTGTTTTTTTTTTTTTGTGTGTGTGGTTCCAATGCAAACCAAAGAAATGAACATGTACCAAAATATTTACAACTGCAACAATTTTCTGAGAGAAGGGCTTGCATTTTCTGACAGAATTGCAAGCGTGCCAATATTTTTGGCCATGACTTATCTGGATCAATTAAGCTACTTCCATGGAAACTTGCTTCTTCCATTTTCAGCAGTCTTAAATAATGCAGAGACAAAGCAAAGTTTATAGCATCTTCCCATGACCTAAAAAAAAAATCTGCTACAGATCAAATGTAAGCTTATTTCCAACTGGGCAGTCATCCAGACCACAAAAACCACCGCAGTTCACAGATTGCTATGTTCAGCTTCATCGTGCAGAACAATTTCCCTTGCACAGAATGATTTTTACAATGTATTGGGAGGCAAAACATACAAACACAAATACTTGCATTAGGACAGTGCCAAATGTGAAATTTCTTAACTTTCAGGAGTTAGGTGCTCAGAGTTGCTTTCTATCAAGAAACAATGCATTACAAAAACCCTCGACCTGACAATGCCCATTAGTACTTGTGATACATTATAAATGTTTCAGTAGATAAGGCATTACGCTACATTGTAATGTTTGTTTTTCAATCAAGAGACATTGGCCAAAATCTTCTTGCATAACCACACAAATGATATAACTTCGGGAGGCAATTTGATCTGAGCTTACCATAGTAAGCATCAGCTAATACAGTACATAACAGACACAGTAGGACCCCCTTATCCATGGGATCAGTATCCACTGATTCACTTATCCACAGTCTGAAAATATTAAAAATATTAAAAGAAAAAAATCTGGAAAAACTATTTTCACATGTATTACTAGAACCATCCACTAGGGAACCAGAGACCATGCCATGAATACTTGTTAGAGAAGAATATATAGCATAGTCTCTGATGCCCTCTAGTGGGCTGTTCTGGTAACACAAGTGATTTTTTTTCTTTTTTACCATGATAGCATTCACTATTATCCAGTTTTCAGTATGCACGGGGGGTTTGGAACCAATCCACAGTGGCTATGGGGCAGTCTTACTGTAATGCCTATTGTGATTTCTTAACTTGGGGCAAATTGCTCCAGAAGTTATGGAGTTTACATTATGGCAAGAAGATGTGGGCCTATATTACAAATAACCGCACCTTCCGGGTGCAAATACTTCACAACTTAAACACACATTACTACAGAACTGAATGTGTTGGAGCATTATTCTTCCTCTGTCCATTAAAAAGCTGTCCCCATGTGATAGTGAACACCAGTAACATCTCCTTCATCCTCCTCATTTTCATTGTTTTGCCTGAGGACTGTCTTCCCTTTCTAATGTCCACACACAGCAGAGATGACTTTGGAAAACTCTGAAATTAAAGCTACTGAAAAGCTTTTTGGGCAGACGGAAGGGAGTTTGTGTGTGAAAAGGATCTGTGAACTGCATCCAGCCTGTGGGCCGGAGGTCCTCCACCCATATTCTATAACACAGAAATCAATGATCGTAAGTTCTTTCTTGGCGGCCTGGTGTTTAATTTTTTCTTCTTCAAAGAACCATTCTTCAGGCTAGATCCAATGGTAACATCACCTAGAGCATATCTGTCGCAGTCAGTATAACTTAGGTTCATTGTGACAACTACAGTTTCATTTTCTAACAACATAAGCAAAAGATTTAGGGTGAAGAACTGTGTAGACAGGCCAGTTCAACCACAAACATAAATGAGCTAAGCCATTCCAGCAAAACATTTGCTCTTTTAAAAAATATATTTCTCTATTTTAAATAGTGGGAATTGGTGATTTCTTCTGGATTCTTCTTTCTCTGAAGCAGTGCAGGTATCCTCTCCTATGTCATCTCTCCTTTCCCTACCATTAACCCACACTCAGTCCTCACCAGCTACTCCAAACAGTATAGGCTCCTATAGATGATGGTGATGATGATGACTGCATTGAAGCAGCTGTTCAAGAAAAGGCAAAACAAAGTTTAGAAAGGGAGGAAATTTAAGTACAAAATTACTCTATCTGGTAAAAGCAACCGGACTTGTGTTTAATGACAGGCTTCTACTCATAGAGTTACATGTTTTTAACTCTACTTCAGTTTGTTTCATTGTTCCTCTCAAACGAAGGATAAGGTGTGCATTTTTTTTAAATAACAAAATTTATCAAAGTAGGTCATAAACCTCTAGAAGACTCTTCTATTTGTCACCAAGGGCTCTAGAAGTGAATGATAAGATTCAACATATGAATCTGCTCTCCCACACGGAAAGATGGGCAGGAGTGCTATTCATCCCCTTTCCACCTACCTCACGAAGTTAGGTGAACTGGCACAGGGAATATTGTATACATAAAAGCCACCCTAAGGGCATCCCATGAAGAACTGCTAGAAAACTCAGTGGTTTAAGTATCCAGCTGCAGAGCCAAGAGTTTGATTCCTCATTGTATCTCCCTGACAGGAGTTGGAATCAATGATCCATAGGATCCCTTCCAGCTCTGCAATTCTAAGATGATGATTATTTGAAAAATATGAAAGGGAAATATACAATAGATGACAATATATTTTTATGAGTCAAGCACTGTGATTCACACATGAAAGAGAAGCAGAGCTGGGTGGTCCATGAAGAAAATCAAGTAACAGAGCTGGCTAGAACCTATACTAGACCACCAAAACATCACAAGGGTAGCAATATCCATAAGTCTCCCATCACTCTGAGCAGCCCTTTGGGGTAACTTCCTTAGGTCCAGGGGCCACATGTGCCCATGCTAATATCATCATCACCATCATCATCTCAGAACTGCAGATCTAGAAAGGACCCTGCGCATCATGGAGTTTAGCCCCCGTCACAGAGGGACAGTGGGGGAATCACACTCCCAGCCAGAGACCTAAACCACCGGGTTATCCAGCAGTTCTCTTGGAAGGCTGCACACGCTCCTGCGTTCCCCCAAATGTTTTTATTTAATATACAATCAGAATATTCTTTATCGAAAACATATTTTTACTGGAAAATCCCCATGACACCCTGAAGTGACTGCCACTACTACTGAAAATGACATGTTGTTTTTTTAAAAAAGGCTAGAGTGCTCAAGTGGACTTTTTGATTTGGGGGGGTGCTGTAGGCCACACTTGGGGTTCTGGAGGGCCACACGAAGCCTACAGGGTGCAGAACAGCCACCCCTGAACAGCAGAGATGGAAATACCTTGATTCTACTCCCCTAGAGGTGAAACTAGATGTCATTACATCTGGTATGGATTTTTAAAGTCTCAGCTTCTGTCCTGTTTGTTTGTTTCATTTCAGATACTATAGCTTTAACATATAGGTTGGACAACTTTTAGATTTTTTTCTCCACCCACCCAAGTCAAGCCCTACAATATCCAGTCTAAAAGGGAGTTCTGGAGAGCTTGCCTTTGCTGGACATTCTCAATGAAGGTATTGCTCCAACCTGGTCCAATTTCAGTGACTTTTTTTCCCGTACTTATGCCACCAAGTAATTTAGGCATTGTTACCCAAAACTCTAGGCAATTAGCTAATACAAAAGGGAACTCTAACTTACCTTAGAATTAGTGTATAATGGTGATTTGATGCTTTAGCTGCATCTAATCTCACTGTGAATGATTTCTTGTGAGAGTGAGGCTCTAAAAGGCAGCCTATAAATGTGGAAGAAGTGCATACTACATCTGTTGAATTCATGCATTAAATGAACACACTGAGGTGTGATTAGGTGTCACTTTCTTGCCACTGACATGAAGTAAATCATAGTCTTTGTTCAATTTTAACTGCTGTTTTATTTAAAAAGTGTAATGGGGAATCTACGTAGTGATTCTACACCAAAATATTTTTACCAGACACTTATTTGCAAGAGGTTGGTCAGAAAAAATGTGAAGATATCAAAACAACAACCACCACAATGTTATTTGGGTAGATCTGTTAGTGCAGGGGTCTCCGTGCATGCGGGTGGGTGGGAATGCACGCGTGTAGGTCGGCGGGAGTGCATGTGTGCGGGCGGGTGTGTGTATGTACAGGAGCATGGGCGGGTAGGATTGTGTGCATGTGTGCATTCCTTCAGCCCTTGAAAATATCGAAATTATGTGGCTCTCCGTGTGAAAAATTTGGAGACCCTTCTGCTAGTGTATGATAGAGAAACTGAGCCATAATAGAAGTAACATTTTACAAACACAGAGATACAATTATGAAGTCTTCTATTTAAAAGTATTTTTATTTGCGGACAGAATGGTTACTTAGAACTTCATACAAGCTGAAGTTCCACAGTGATCCATCATTTCCCTGACATAAATATGTCGCAATTCCATCACCAATTGGATGATAAGCACACAGGCAATAATTTACGAAGGTTTTTTTTCAGCAGCTCACATGATGACTATCACTCTTGATTCCGAAGTGCTGTTTTCATTCATTTAAATGAGTCTAGCACATGATACCCAATATGGTGTAGTATACAGAATGACAGACTAGGACCTAGGAGCTCTGGGTTCAAATTCCTGCTCAGTCATGATGTTGATATACAATGTCTCTTATCAGCTACAGCTGTGATGTCTTGCAGCTGTTCTTTTAGTAAGTCTTTCCAGAATCTCAGGGAACAATGCTGGTTTAACCATACCACGACATGACAGACTAGGACCTAGGAGCTCTGTGTTCAAATTCCTGCTCAGTCATGATGTTGAACTGGCAAATCCACTCCTTAAATATCTCACTTGCCTTGAACACCCCATTAAGGTCACTGTAAGACAGTGCTGAATTGATGGCACATAACCAAGCACACATAATTCAAAGACGATATTAACAATGCGGTGCCTGGTAACCTATGCCTAATGACTGTCATAAAGCTCATTCCTATTCAGCATTCTAGTTATGGTCAGCATCATGGTGCAGTTCGATTGACGGAAGCAGAAACAGGATTCTTCACCTGACTCACAATTTCCTCTACTTCCATAATATTTTCACTGGATGATTGGGAAACTTTCCAGAGCTGATTTTTAGACAGTGTGGAGGGCAACGAGAGAAGTAAAGTCTAGACCAGCTGAAATAATTGTTATCATTCAACATGGAAAAGTTTAATTATCCTGAGAAGCTGCACTATAGATGTCCACACAGCAAAGTAGGTACATTCCTCCCCATCGAACACCATATACTCCTCTGCCATTATTCCCACCTTCTTTTTTCACTAGCTCTCCTTGTTTGCTTCAGATTATGAAGTGACATAGCACTGAACTGATAAGACATAACCATTCTGAATTACTGCTGCACCACTTACCTGATGCACTTCATGGGAATTACCTTACACCTTATTTATAGGCTGGATAATACCCTGAATATGTTCTTTAATTGATTATAAACTGATTTTTAAAACTCCAAGAATTACACCAAGAAGCAAGAGGATTAAGAAGAAAGGGAGCAACAAAAAGGGAAACTATCCACAGGTGCTACAAAGGCATATGGTTTACATCTGTTTGTTTATTTCAGATCTGGTCATCTTATCCTACCTTTCTCCGTATTCAGGGATCCAAGAGCTATCCTTTCAAGGATATTTTCCTCTTGCAATTGCTTTAAAACACATACTGTGTGTGAGAAAGTGTTCTTTTGAAACACTAAGAATAAGTTATCCTTGGAAAAGAAACAGCTAAAGCAGCCTGGAATGTACTGGGTCAGTTCCAGGAATAAAAAGTAACTTTTTAAGCACCTGTGCATATTTTTCTTTTTTGATATTTACACATCTCATCATGTGTCACACGAAGATTCATCATCTGTGTCAGTTGTATTGTATCTTTTCCATAAAAAATTGTCATTTTTCTTCCAAAGCGATTTCTTATCTTCTTCTTTCTCCCTAGACAAACGAGCGAGAGGTGCTTTTTCACATAGTTTCTCTATGATTGCTATGTCTGTCAGCTTTTGCAGACTCTCCTCATTCTGTTCATTCAGCATGTCCCAGAAATCCTTTGATCGCGTTTTTGCTCCTTCCGTAGGCCCAGAAAGAGACCTCCTGGGTGGCTCAGTTGGTCTATTTCCATTACTTTTGAAGAGGTCATTTAAAATGGAGGTGTCTCCTAGTAAGTCTGCAAATGAGTTTTCCTTGCATATTTCAGCCTGTCTGCTTTCTGACTGAGACAGAAAGGGTTTTCTTGGCGACTCTGCCCCCTTCAAGTTTGGCTGTCCTTTGGTAGTATTTGCAGACAGCCCCTCAATTATTCCTGATTTACTGCTTAATGAGTCAGATGCCATAAAGTCTTTGAATGCCTGACTGTTTCTCTCACTAATGCTATCTTGGGTAATGACAGTGGGCAATTGTTTATTCTCCACATTATGACACACAGCAGTTTGTACGCAGGGATCATACTGAAATTGTTTTCCTTCTGCATCATGTCTTTTATGGCCACACAGATCTGTCAAAGGACCAGACACTGATTTTTCAGGTTTAAAAACGGACTTTCTTTTTCTAGACTGGGCTCTCTGTACATCTTCTTTGTCTGAAGCAGAAACTGGAACATCAACTTTTAATAGCTCCTTTAATTCTGGATATTTTGCACCATAAAATTCTTTCAACATTTTCTGTCTCTCTTCTGAGGTAGTGTCAACAATATGCTTTGCGAATTCCTCCACTGGGTTCTTATGAAAATGAGATGCCATTTCTTCAAATTGTTTCCTGTAGTCATCATCAAAAACAAAACAAAAAAAACATGGTTTACTGAATGAAGTAAGAACAAAAAAAATCTACAAAACTGGATGACTGTCTTGCAACATCCGTAAACAAGCTTTATTTCCAGATCAGGTTAGAAACTAGACAGGAAAATCGTGTCCACCTCTCCTCCCACCTCCTGCCAACTTTTGTAAACTGTATAATAGAAGTCTAGCACTCAGAGCATATGAATGTCAGTGCGCTCTTTAAGAGAGGGCAGGGATGAGATGCTAATAAGAACATGTTCCACATTTCTTGATCTGTTATCCATTCTTTCTTTTCATTTCAATTCTTGGATTTCGCATATGAAAAATTATTACTTAATAAACTGAAACAACCTTCCATTGGTCCAGAAAAAAAAATAACAGTGAAAATTAAGACATACCGTGAAATTATGGTTTCGCAGCTCTCCCACAGTTTGCAAAAATCACAGTCATTTCGACAGTAAAAGACTTTGTAATTTTCTGATTGAAAATATCCACTTTTGGTCCACTTTGGCTCACTCACACCATATACTACAATGTTTAAATGTTCCAAAATTTGCTTTACGGTTTCCAGATCACCATAATTCATACTTTCCATCTTCCAATGACATACATTGTGCAGCATCAGAATTTCCTTTTGCCTCTGTGCACATGGATCACTAGACAGCCTTTTGACTTTCATCTAGTTCCTCCATTAACCACAACCCTCAATTGTGGTTGTGGTTCCTCACTAGCTGATTGAGTGCCTTCTGAACCTGAAAGTCTCCTCTTCCAGCACTATCTCTTGTTTTATTTTGGACTGTCTCATCATAGGGTTATCAATGTAAGCAATATTCAGAAGTCATTTACCATTGCCTTCCTTTGTGCAGTACCATCAAAAGTTAGCTAGAGTATCACTGCAGTGGTTTGTGAAAGATCCTCTACCACAGTGGTCCCCAACCTTGGGCCTCCAGATGTTCTTGGACTACCACTCCCAGAAGACTTCACCACCACCTTGGCTGGCCAGGATTTCTGGGAGTTGAAGTTCAAGAATATCTGGAGGCCCAAGGTTGGAGACCACTGCTCTACCAGTATCACTTTCTTCTACTGCCACTGCCCAATAGTGCCCTCCAGGAGTTTTTCTACCCCCATCACCACTGGAACTATCAATTGTTTTCTACTGATGTGACCCTTAATCCTGAGGAGGGTGGATATGTCTTTGTCTCAGTTTTGATCATATTACCTTGGGTGACCCTGCTAGAAGTTGAGGCTCGTAAAGGAATCTCGCTTCCTGAAAGCACTGCCCTTGGCTTTCCTAACATACTCAAAGCCTTCCACTATATTACGGTTTGCATTCAAGAGGGGTTTGGATAAAGTCTGACCCTCGTCCCCAAAATAACAAGTTGGGACAATATTCCTCCCACTAAGGGTCCTGTTTGGGGTAGAAATAGAGATTCTTGGGGAAATGGGTGGAAAAAACACCATAGTTTGCCCTGGAACACAACTGTTAACTTACATTCTGGTGCTGCCTCTGCAATAACCCACGGAAGGAAACATACTATACCCTGCTAAACACAGGCACTTCAAGAAACTTTTTTTTCTTGTTCTGTTTTCAGAGAAAGAAGGAAACATACTAGATCCTGCTAAACACTTTTTTTTCTTGTTCTGTTTTCAGAGAATGGAGTTCTGGCATGAAGTTCTGTTTCCACAACAGATAAATAACACCACTAATCTATTCAATGCTGCACAACATAGCTCAGTGAGTTGAGTAGCTGGCTACAGAACCAAAGGTCAAATTTCCGATGTGTCCCCTGAAAGGAGAGCCAACCTGTGTAGCCTTGGGCAAGCTGAACAGTCTCAGGGAAACCCCAGAAGAAAAGAATGGTAAACCAGTTTTGAGTACTCTATACCTAGAAAACTTTGGAAAAGGTCACAATCATTTGGAATGTACTTGACAGCATATGATTATGATCAGGAGCATGGTTCTCCTCCTCCTCCTCTATATGTATGTGAAGCTCCAACAGCAGAAGGTACTAGTGACACAGGATTGTGCGCCTGATTATGTAATCAAATTGGACTACAGTAGCAGTTCCCACAATGGAGACGCCACACATATAAAATACTGAACAGGATACTGGTCAATATGATTTGAATGAGCTTAGTCATATTCCCCAGCATGGGAAATTCAAACAGCCACCATAAAAAAGTAAGACACACTTACAAACATCAAATCTGAAATCTGTGTAGTTCTCTACCACTTGCCATGGGGTTCACTGAGTGGGAGTAATTATGAACATCTTGTACACAGAATGATGGCGTAGCTATGAGATTTCCTGTTCCTACCTTGATTTTAGGTTCTGCAGCTGTTACATATGCAGATGGCAAAATGAGCAACAATGCCATTATTTTCTACTGTTTGCGAGGCAATGAAGGAACTTTTCAAGTTGCAATGCCAACCATTAAAAGAAGACTACTTTTAATATAAATGTTCTGATAACACTAAGCTATTATAAATTAATTTCAAGGTCCAACTGAAATGCATTTTAAGCATGAGCACTATAAAAGGTAAACGTTCCCCTTGACAATTTTTAGTCAGTCGTGTTTGACTCTAGGGGCGGTGCCCATCCCCGTTTCCAAGCCACAGAGCCAGCGTTTGTCCGAAGTCAGTTTCCGTTGTCACGTGGCCAGCGCGGCTATACACGGCATGCTGTTTCCCTTCCCACCCAGGTGGTACCTATTTATCTACTCGCATTTACATGCTTTCGAACTGCTAGGTTGGCGAGGAGCTGGGACAAAGCGATGGGAGCTCACTCTGTTGCATGGATTCGATCTTACGACTGCTGGTCTTCTGACCCTGCAGCACACAAAGGCTTCTGCGGTTTAGCCCGCAGCACCATCACGTCCCTATGAGCACTATAACAAAGAAAAATAAGTACAGTAAACGAGGTACTATGATCTATTGAAAGTGCTTGTCCTACTATTTCTGAACAATATTTTCAGTTGTTAATTCTGCAAAATGCTACAATTACAATGGCACAAATGTTTCAAAATAATACTTGCACGATAACATTATTATTAATACCTATCGTGCATTAAACTGATACACTGCAAAGCAAATGAGTCTGAGGCCTCATTTGTAGGTCTTTTAGCAAGCTATAGTTCTATTCTTACCTTCGGATTCCTTTCGGTGTCTTTCCAAGTAGGAAGGTCCTTGAACCTATTCGGTGGACCCTTTTCTGTTTCTGGCACACTGGATGTGTGATATAAAGAACAGATGGTTTGCTGATTCCACTTACTGACTTAACTTTGTGGGTGCTCTTCTTTGATGGACTTTCTTCTGTGTTCTTCCTGTCTTTCTAAACAAATTTTCAAATAAAAGAGTTTAATAACTTCTATATGCAAGTGTTTATCCTCTGATTTAATTCCATATTTTATTTCATCTTTAGCTGAGATTCTGTGTCACAGGAGAAGATAATCATCTTTTCAAGTTAATCATGACAAGAGTTCTCCAAAGCCATGCAACATTTTTAGCAAGTAATCTGTTCATTTTTATGATTTCACAGGGGTCTTAGCCTCTGCATGAAAAACGATGGTCTCTACCAGATCACACTAACCATTTGTGTTTTACAAACCAGAGAGGGAAGGGGAAAATGGGAGGAAGAGAACTGATTGTTGAGGAGATTATGGTACCATGTTATTTCATTGATGTCTTACTTTTTTTTTTACATCAGATCACACCAATGCTGCTGACACAAAGCAAGATACATTACTGGATAGAATAATCAAATATAATAAAGCGCAGCAAATGTGAAAGAACAAGAGCCCTAATATTAAAAACTAAGCAACAGCATAATACTAAAACGATATAGAAACACTAGAGTGCTAAATCACCTTCAGTCTCCATTTAAAAGTCAAGAGAAAGTGAACCCAGTGCCTGTGTCCAGGATTGGCATTCCATTTCTGGCAGGCCAAGTGAAAAGATTATGCCCAGTGGTGACGGTGGCTAAACCGAAAGTTAGGTTTCTATCTGGAAAGTTCATATGACAGAAGGCAATTCTTAAGCTAAGTCATTATGACTTATATCAAGTTATGCCATTGGGCCACCATCTCAGTAGTGATATCCATGTTAAGGATGCCTTTCTTTCAAAAGCAAGTCCCATACCCTGAGCCCATAGTTCTATTTTGGCACAGCCAGCTGCCCGGTGGTCTTCCTGTCTTGTACTTAATTTAGATATGTGTGCATCACCCCAGTCCCTTACATCACTACAGTGGTGCCTCGCTTAGCAATTGCTTCGTTTAACGATGTATTCGCTTAGCGATGGGTTCTTTTGAGGAATTTTCCGCATCGTTTAACGATGTTCTCTATGGGCGATTTTCACTTAATGATGTCCGTTTTCGCTCATTTAAAAGTGTCTTAACATGTTTGAAACCTGTTTTAAATGCTTGGAATCATTAGTGCACCTTGTGAAACCTTTGCAAACTTAATTTGGCTTTGTTCTGAGTCTTCGTTAATTTTTGGTGAATTTTTCCCCCCATTGGAATGCACTGAACAGACATTTAAAACAGGTTTCAAACATGTTAAGACACTTTTAAATGAGCGAAAATGGACATTGCAAAGCCATTGAAATGCATTGAGTAGGCAAATAAATCATCATACCAGTATCTTTCTTAAGAGTTTTAAAACCTCTGAAGATTTATTTATTTACCTTAGTTATTAAACAGTAACTAATAATGCCTTGACCTACACATCTGGTAAACACAAAGGGGTGTATTTTAAAAAAAAAAACAAAGTTGGAAAACAGCCAGATTTGGTAAACAGACTGAACAGCATAAGCTTTCTTGTCTTTGCAAGGGAAGAGAATTTCTGTTAAAACTAATACTGTTCAGTTCACTGTAAATAAATTATCACAGATGGCTTTTGTAATTTGAAAAGGATGAAAACACTTCTAAATGTGCTTGCAATTTTCCCCCCTGAAAAAAAACTCATCTCAAAAATTAACTGTTTCTGCCGGGAGGCTCAGAAACAAAGTTGCTATAAACAAAGTATCCTCCAAACTGATGGCAGAACAAGCTTCAAGCAATCCTGAATTATCCTTGGATCATCTTTATTCCGCCTTCTGGACGAAAGCCAACTGGCTAAACAAACCCACCAACAATGTCTACTGATGGGAAAGTGTTACATTCATTTGAATCTGTCCTACATTCAAGGCAACTCATACATCCGAATTAACATCCACAAAGTTTTCACAAGTGGCAATCAAGTTCTGAAGAACCAGCACAGTTTCAAAAGGCTTTCACACAGTATCCTATGGAAGAGAAAGGATCCCATGCTAATTAGTTCACAGCCACAAACTGCCTACGTTAGCAAATGCCAGAGCACTCATGAGCAAAATGAATAGTAACACTGGAAAAATCAAGCTGCACACAAACTTGAAAATGTTACTTTTTGGACAAAACCATTTTTTCTAGTCTATGTTTCAGAGTAAAAGTCCCAGAACCCTCCCCCATTACGCCTTCATTTCTGTCTCTGAGAGTAGCGTTTCCATTTTCTGTCTCCCTGTGAGCTCCTCATTTCCTGTGAGCCATCCCAATTTCAATGCTAGAGCAGTAAGACAGGACTTTCCTCCCCTGCAGTTTGAGGCACTACAGTGGTGCCTTGCCTGACGAGGATAATCCATTCCAGCAAAATCGCTGTTAAGCAATATCCTCGTCCAGTGAAATAAAAAAATCCCATTGAAATGCATTGAAAACCCGTTCAATGCGTTCCAATGGGCTGAATAACTCACCGTCCAGCGAAGATCCTCCATAGGGTGGCCATTTTCTGTTCCCTGTCTTGTGAAAAATCCTTCCTAAACACAGCGGGGAGCCATTTTGTACACCTGGCAGCCATTTTGAAACCCAACAATTGTAGTGGGCACGCTGAAGCCTCTACCAACTCAGGCCTCCAGGAGTGCTCACTCTTCTTCTTCAGTTGCTGCCACCAATTTTATCCAATATTTTTTTTAAAAAAAACAATTGTTTCAAAACAAAAACTTGTTTATTGGTTTAACAAAATAAAGTAAGTAAATCACAAGATGTTAATCAAGGTCTCTCACTCACTGACACACACAGATTCTTCCCTCACTGACTATTTGGCTCACAGGCCCATAGACACATTCATCACTAACTCTCTCAAAATCTCTCTCCCACTCCTTTACATCATACACCCCTTTATATATTCCAGCTCCTCCCCCTTCTGCACCACCTTCCGTCCCCTCATTGGCTGATGTTCCACTGCCCAGCTGTGACGGACAGGTGAGGGCAGGGCTGAATGCTACAACAATCAGCTGTTTTTGATCATCGTAATGCGAAGAATCGGCTCCCGAAGCAGGGAACCGATCATCGCAAAGTGAAAAAACCCAATTCAAACATTGTTTTGTGATCGCAAAAGCGATCACAAAAACTTCATCGTGAAGCGGATTTGTCATCAAGCGGGGTAAGCGTTAAGCGGGGCACCACTGTACTTGCAAAATAGCTCTGGAGGATCTTCCCATCTTTCAACACAGATTTTTGGGGGCATATGGGAGGCTGCAGCTAGGAAGGGAGACTGGACCTTCCCAATTCTGCTGATGGAAGCAGTTCTGCCAGTGGATGCATCCCGCTGAATCCCCTCTACAATGCATGTTAAATCCCAGCAAAACTATGAAAAGGAAACACCGTTTTTATGAAGTTCTGCTCTCTTGAACAATACAGACGGGAGAGTGCTATAGTGCACACAGTTCAGTCATGGCCAGATTTTTCTGTTTTCTTATCAGGTCCTGCCTCCCGATAACCTTCCTTCCACAAAACATCAGGAACATATTTCTGGAGTGAACTGTCTGCTTCTCCATCTCAGGCCCATGAATGATGTGCCACTTACTCATGACATAATTGTTCACACCATACTGATAATCATCAGTAGTGTGCAAATTCAAATCCTTTTAGAAATAATGCCCAGCTGTGGAATGCATTACCTTCGGAACAGACCCTGTACCAAAAATGTGTGACCTGTGCACTTGCAAGCATAAAACCAGCATCATGGGGGGAGGGCTTTAAAATACCACAAAGCTTAATACTTTGTTACGGTAAATAAGGAAATCCAGCTAAACTCCAAAGTCTCATAATATGGGAAGATGGTTTTGGTTTGGTGCTTTGTCATGGACTAAAAAACTACAATTGGAAATCCATGGGTTCCTCCCCCCCCCCACTCCCCAGGTCTGCTTTCTTGCTGAACTCAAGATCTGTACAAATGCTCTTCATTCAGATCTACTGCAGTTGACAAAAATTCCTTTGTTTACATGACCTACGAAAAATACCTATGCAATACAAAATACAAGTGCCACAAAGATAAGTTCTTAATAGCGCTACTTTTGTATTTACAGTATCTCACGAAGCACTTAAACCTGCACTGGGCATAGAAAGGGCATGTTTTTTTCCTAGGCTGACAGAATGCTTACTTCTCTCATTTATACCACACTGCTATAACATAAAGAGGGGTTTATCATTAATCCAGGTTTTACTACAAAGCTTCCTGTTATTTCTCTGTCAAGCACTGTCAGGAGTGCCAAGTGTCTGTCATCCAGTTCAGGGGATTAAGTCTTCTTTTATAGTGTGATACTTGTACCAATTCATAAAAATACAGATATAGTTTCTTAGCACTGGTCACAGTCTGTATTTTGGACTGGATTCATGCCGCAAAGGTTGAATATGACAGCTGGCAGGAAGCTGAGGGGGAGAATACATCCTCCCCCTTTTTACTCACCACATTTCAGTTGCCATAGTGATTAATCCTCAATTCAATGGCTGTCTTTGTATATTTCTTTTCAGTAAAACTTAAAGTAAACTTAAGTTGAAAACAAGCAGTTGACTGAAAAAAGCTCTATATAACCAAGAGGTACAGTATAAGTTTTGCGACCACTATATTTCCACCCATTAAAACAGCAAATTAATGCATAATACAACTGCTTCAAACCCCTAAATATATCCTGTCCCTCTTCATATAATTATTGGGTGAAGTAATGCTTCCTTTTTATTACTTGATTGAGTATGTGTGTTTGTGTTTAAAGGGGATCTCTTTACACATAGCATTTAGTAACATCAGCTCAAAAAAGGAGCCAAACGAGGCCATCCCATAGCCCTGTATTTCTAAATTCTCATTTAGGCTGTTTTATAAAAGCTCTTTTTGCCAATTAACAGAGAAATTAATTATGGAATTAATTAAAGAATCCAGACATCCAATTCAGAATAGATTGGAAACAGTAGAAGAGGGCGTTTTACCTGGCTCCAGAAGGCTCAAATTATTTTTATGCAGTTGTTTTTTTAGAAGATTCAAACTATGCTTAAAGCAACAGAAGATTAAATGAAACATTGAACACCTACTATTAAGATTAGTCATAATTTGGTGGCTTCAATCAACACAGCTGTAATGTAAGTAAAGTAGTTGTACAAACTTAGCAAATAGTTGCTGGACATTTTAGATATAATACTTTACACAATAAACAATACTGATTACATTCCAAATAACTATTCTGAGAGCAGAACCACTGAAATCAGATAAATTGGGTTGGGTCCAAATGAGGGAATTTGGAGCAGTCTGGTTCATGGTCTTATCTTTAGGTAAAGGT